TAGAAGAGCTCTTCAGTTGCAAAGAATTCAGATCACAACAGGTCATAAAGTTTTTAACACTATGGATTTTTAAATTAAAGCTCTGGGTTTATTTTATGAATCATGTCTGCACACCAAACTTGGAAGGATCTCAAGGCACCCCAGGATGCAGCAGTCCCTTGCTTGAGAACCACTGCATTCAAAGCATCTATTCTATTTGTTTACGTTGACACTGTACAAAAGTTATTAGATGTAATGCCAGCCACCCTTACTGAGAACTCATTTCAGATGATGAAATCATATTTTCCAAGTATACCCCTGAATGGCTTTGTCCAGGTCATTTTATAGGTGCATACTCCCTTTCACTATTTTTCTGGCCAGGTGTAGAATGCAACTTTAGCAGGGAACTAGTATGTCCCTTACTCAGCAAACTTTTCTTGTATCAAGTTAAATGTATTAGAGACATTAATAATATGTATTATTCATTCTATTAATTTTGTCTGATGAAAATGGGAGCTTGGAGCACACGTGGTGTTCTCATTCTTCCTTCCTGCGGAAGGCAGGGGTCCAGGCAGAGACCACTATAGCCTGGAAGCAAATGCTTGGCTGTGATGGTGGCGTCAATGTGAAGGCTTCAGCTTCTTTGACAACGGGACAGAAGAACAGCTGGAAGATGTGAAGGTGATGGGAAACTTGACAGGAAGAGATCATGATATGATAGAAATTAGAGGTGCACTGATACATTGGTCCATATTGTATTGGCACCAATAAAAGGAAAACTGGCATTATCAGCAATTGGCTTTTTTTGGCTGATGTGGCTGATAATGTCACTGATCAATGCCACGTGCATGTGGGCAGCTGCACCATGCATGCGGTCAGGAGTGCAGCCCGGCAGCTTGGAAACCAGTGTCCAGCCAGTAAGTCTGTGTGGGGAAAGGGGTGTGACGGAGGCAGATCAAGACCCCCGTGTTGAAGGAGTGAGTGAGGCTGGGGCAAGGGCAGGAGTAGGCACTGCACAGCCAGGGCAGAGCAGGGCACAGGATAGAACCGTGGCTTGTCCAGGGACACTGAGCAGGGGGAGGGGGAGAGGCAGCTACCACCACTGCATGCAGCCCTAAGGAAGGCATGGAAGGTGTGTGCCCCCCCCCCCTCCGGATCTGTGCATGGGGAGAGGGTGAGCTGCCACTGCAGGCTCTGGGCCCCAACCTCTTCCCAGTGAAGGTGGCTGGGCCAGGGCTGCGCTGCAGCCAACCCAAAATTTCCCATAGCCTCCCTATAACCCCCCTTCCAGCACCACTGCTGTCTACCCCTGCCCACCCCTAGTGCAGCCTGGGCTTGCTCCCCTACCAGGAAGAGGCTGGAGCAGCCTCTGGCCCCAGCCTGCAGAGGCAGACCACCCTCACCCCATGCACAGATCCAGGGGCACATGGCTCTCCATGCCTTCTATGAGGACGAATAAGGTGGTGGGAGCCACCCCCCCAGATGAGCTGTGCAGCTCCTGCCCCTACCCCAGCCCCACTCCCTCCTTTACTGCAGGGGCCTCGATCATCCCTCCCCATGCCCCTTCCCCACAAAAGACTTAATGGCCAGATGCTGCTCTCCAAGCTGCCAGGCTGCACATTGGTAATTGGATCGGTAGTGGCTCATCTGCCTCATTAAAAACTGGCCATCGGTATCAGCTCAAAAAATCTTTATTGGTGCACCCCAATAGAAATCCAGATCTTGAGACAGGGAAAGCATGAGGTCAGTAAAATTAGGATGCTAAGGCTGCTTGCAGATGTTAAAATGAACCCCCCCCCCCAAAAAAAACATGCTTTGAACTTAACACACCCGTGCCAAGCCCAGCACATGCCCAGAAGTGGCAGCACATTGGGCAACCTAGGTCCAACCAATGTTTACACAGATATGGGGCTTTAGTGGGACTTTTTGGCACTTTTATCTAATAGCTGATTGAATCTTGCTGAAGCACCCAATTTATATAGACGCTGCAGAGTGGGGTCAAGGCAACGTGCTACTTCTGGTAAAGTGTGTGTGGGGGTTTTTTAATGTCTGCAAGCAGCCCAATTTTAAAAAGGTGGATTTCATCTGACTGAAAGGAGCCTAATAGACATGGTGTCATGGGAGGATAGGTTGAAGGATAAAGGTGCCCAGGAGGACTGGGAGCTTCTAGGGGGCACAGTATTGGGAGCCCAACAAGAAACTGTCTCAACACTATCGAAACACGAGAATGGCAAGAGACCAACGTGGCTGTACGAGGAGTTTTCAAAAGGCCTCAAATGCAAAAGGAAAGCATACAGGCAATGGAAGAAAGGACAGGTCACCAAGGAACAGCACCAGGAAACAGGAAGAATCTGCAGGGACAAAATCAGGAATGCAGAGATAAAAAATGAGCTGTACCTGGCAAAAGAGGTTAAAGACACCTAGAAAAGGTTCTATTAAGTATGCTGGCCCATAAAGGACTAAGGAAGCTGTAGGTTCTCTATTAACAAGACGAGGGAAACTCCTAACCAAAAAGATATAAAGAAAGCAGTTACTCAACAGCTACTTTGCCTCAATCTTCACAAAAAAATCAAGGTTGAGTGGAGTCCCACAGGGGTCTGTCCTTCACCTAGTAATGTTCAACGTGTTCATTAACAATTTGGATGCTGGCATAGGAAGCTTCTTGGGCACATTTGCAGACAACATAGAAAGGGAAAGAACCGTGAACGTGGAGCACATGAATGCAATTCAGAAGGATCTCAACAGATTGGAAAGTTGGGTAAGAGCTAACAGGATGAAGTTCAAGTTCAATATTTTGCCCACACTGGTCTTTCTCCTCCACTGAGGGGTCAGACCAATCACCATATTTGGCATCAGGAAGGAATTCTACCCCATGGTCAGATTGGTATGGGCTATGAGGGTTTTTGTCTTTCTCTGTAGCAAGGGGCTGGCCTCTTGAGCATATATTGTCAACATTTTATAGAAGCAGGATATTGGCTGCTGTGGTTCCCCTGCTTTACTTGTGGCAGGTGAGGGTGTTAAGTCTGTGTTGCACCAGGGTTGATGGTCATCTTTATATAGAGTTTAGATTATGAACTGCATAGGATAGTTTGGATAGGAATGATCCTGCCTCAGGCTGGGGTGACTAGATGACATCTGGTGGTCCCTTCCAGCCCCACTTCTCTATGACTTTATATGGAAGAAGAGGTCAGATCAAGTTTCGCAATTGGCATTTTTAGAATCAGTTGGGCATAGTGAAACTATCAAAAATATCCTTTGAATGTGAAAGTGTCCTACGAAAGAGATGGAGAAAAGAGATGTCAGGGAAGCCTATACCTAATGAAGTTTAAGCAGCTCTCTCAAGGTCTTTGCATACTAATTAAGAAGGGACAGTCAATCCAGTTATTTCAAGGACCCCTGAAACTGACTGCTATTGGTTAAATGTCTAAGCATAAACAAATAAAATACAAAAAGCCAGACTTTACAGCAGCTCAAGTGTCAGCATTGTGTTTTATTAACATTTCAACATCTTGCATATCAGTTTTATTTTTAAAAACACAGGTTCTAAAAACAGGAACACTGATCCAGTTTGAAGCTAAATATCAGATATATTGGTCAAGTTCTGTAACAGCATGACTTGCTTATTCACAGGGACTGTGACCTGTAAATAATTTCAAATGCACCACTGGCTGCTGTCCCAGCTAGTCTACAAGCTTAGCAGCAGTATAATAGACAATTTGGTATAAAATAGTCTGTTATTATAAAAATGCTTATGTGGACAACTTGTTTTACAAGCCACAAGTTGCCCCAATTGTCAGACCTATTCAACTGAATACTTGTAGTGCACTAATTGAACTGTAAACATTTCAGTAGGCTTTGTATATTACCCTAACTCAGTATTCATAACACATAATAACCGGTAGTATTGGTGCATATGGACAAACTAGTTAGGCTGATGGGGAAGTCAAGGTAAGATCTGCCTTAGGCAGCAACTGACTGGACTTTCTGGACTGGAGTCAGTTACAAGGTTGCATTTAAATTCAGACTTCAGAAAGACTTTTGTGGCAAAATAGTGATACAGCTTTCCTAGTTTTACTACCCATAACTCAGCACAACTTTAACTTAAGGCACTCAGCACACAGTGCTCAATTATACAAACCACATATCCTGGGAAGGAGTGAGACCACTAAACTTTAAGTATCAGCATCAGGGCAAGAGATAAGGAAAAAAGAGTGAAAGTTGTTTGATAACTGGTTAGTTCTTCCTTCTCACCCACTGTACAGCTGCATTACAAAAAGCTGAGACCAACAGAACTGCTAACAGCCTTTTAAGTACACTTTAATAAGTGTACTTATAAATATCCATCTCAGCTCCTGTTCCCACCTATCTTAAAGACAAGTAATATAAAATGACTAACCTCCTATCAAATCCTCAAAGCTAGGTCTTAAATCTTCCTTTACCTGATAAATCCAGCATGGTTAATGATCTAGAATTCCTTATTATTACTCATTTTCCTGTCCTCACACTCCTACCTATCCTTTAAGGTAAGATTATATGCAAATGAACATTTAACCTAAATTTTTCATCATATTAATTTCTCCCCACTTTTAATATGGTCATCATTTGAGCATCTAGTCACACCTACACTCATACCTTTTTCAAAATACTTTTCCATAGAAACCATCATTTGGAAGTGTAGCTGTGGTTTAAAAATAATATCTGATGTCAGTAGTAAAAATATCTGCAAGACATGAGAAATAGCGCTGCAGTTAAAAAATAACAAACAAAAAAGACAAATTTATCTGACTACTCTTAAATAACTTATAGGCTGTCCTTCAGATATAGATAACAGCCTATTTAAGATCAAACACAAAATAGCAAGGTTAAAAAGTAACAAACTCTCTCATCAGACAGATATTTTTCCTCAGAATGCACCCAGTAATTATGCCTCCTTCCATGACAATAAATTCCTAGCAAAAATGTATCCCAACCATCCTTGTACTAAAGCACAAACATATCAAAATATGAGACATGATACTCTAGTGCTCATGTTACATCTTAATATCCAAATTAAGATCCAAAAGATCAGAACTGTCCTTCCATACTGAAAGTGACTTAGACCTCATTTGACACAGAGACACGAGTGTTTTCCCAAGCTTGGATGATGAAGGCCAGAGGGGAGGCACATGACAATAATCAGAACTGGACAAACCCCGAGCAAAACAGAGTTTTCAAAACATTGTCAGCACTTGGTTTTGAGCTTGCATTCCTAGGAGAGACAGGAGTCTAAGTGTTCATTTATTTTAGATTCCAAAACCTCAATCTGGCAAACAGGACAGCTGACATTTTTAACCTGATTGACAGCAGAATTAGTACTGGCAGAGGACACTGTTGATTCAGCAAGGCTTTTTATAGCAGTGCTAGTTCTGAAACTGCTATCCATTCTCTCTCTCTTTATGAAGAAGTTTTCAAAGGCAGTTTTGTCCTCTGTTTTTGGCCGTTTCTTTGGCATACCAACAGTTTCCAAGCTCTTATTTCCCCAAGATCCAACCCAGGCTCTTGGAGTTTGTTCAGAGAAAATCTGCCTTGGTGTCTCATTAGAAGATGGCAAAGCCCACTTAGCATTTGTAGAAAGTGTATTTGATTTTTCTCCAAGAGCAGAAATTTTAACAGGCGACCCATTAACGTTCTTGTAAACTTTTGTATTAGCAACGGATAATTTAGGAAATTCACGCTCCGAGGCAAATTTGTTTTCATTACTAGTATCATCAAAATTAAGTGGGAAGACAGTGTTGCTGCGGGGCGAGTTTTCAAATTTTATTTCATTTTTGGGAACAGGTCTTGTGCTTCTAGCTGCTGACGGACGTGGTGAACTGAGTATTTCTTTGCTCTTAATAGTGGTGATTGAGCTTGTGATTTTTTCTGAGGATCCACTGTCTGCTCCCCCAAGCCGATATCCATTTCCAGAAAAGGGAATTAGGATTTGTGTATCATGTCCATGTTTCTTTCCTGCAAAATGAGAGATTAGTAATTTTATACAAAACAAAATTTGCAAGGCTCTAAACTAAGTCAGTTAACTCCTGGTTAATTGCTATTTGAATTTAAAAGAGAAAATAAGACTAAAATACTTTGCAGGTATACACAAGGCCTCATTTATAGCACCAGTTGGATCTGATGCTAGGGCATCATCCCCAAATACTGGCACACTACCAGGGGACAGGGGAACAACAGACTTTTACAGCAACTTTTTTTTTTTTTTTTTTAAATAAAATATAAACTTCATTTTATTATGCAACACAAATCAAAGAAGCAGTAGATTGCATTTTTATGTGCTTAATTATTATATTTGCAGTGACAACAGAGAAATGCTTCAATTATAATCAGATATAGGGCTAGTGAGTCCAGTCAGAGCATTTTCTATTTAGCTTTCAGCATCTAGGGAGTGAGGCTGGAATTATAAATAAAATCACACAGGCTGAATATTTCTATCACCATCAGCTAGTTAGCAGAAATAACGAACAGACGTTTTAAAAGTCATTGTTTAGGTTACAGGAATTAGGAACCCATTAGGTTTAGACTCAAAAAGATAACACTGTGACATGTTTTCAAAGCTCTCTCCACAACTGTAAGAAGAACATGAATTGAAAGCTTCCTATTCAAGAATACAGACTATTGTGTGGGTTGAAGTTTCTGCTGCACGTCCTGTGACCTTAAACTACATAAGTTTAAAAGTATTTACTCCTTTCACCCAGAATTAAGCAAGAGGAGAAATACTGATGGAATAACATTTTCATAAGTGTTCATTTGAGTAGCAAAACACATCTGAAAGCTGATTTGCTATTTGTAATACCACCAAATGAGAACATCATAGGCAGAGCCAAAAAATCTAAATTTTCTTTATCTGGTCCCTGTCAGAGCTAAATCAAGGATCACTCTACACAACTTTACCAGCTTCTTAATCCTAGCGTAGCACTATCTATTTATTCATCTATTTATGTTCACCTGGATGCTATACTAAATAGGAATAGTTTTGAAGAAGAAAAACAAAATAAGTACCTTTATCGTCAGATGGCTTGGAGCTTGAAAGTTTTCCTGGCTGGGTTTTTTCCTTGCCTTTTTTAGAATAGTTCTCTGGCTCTTTCACTTTTGTGAATGTGCCTCCACAGGATTCTTGGTGTTCCACCCACCAGAAATCTCTTGCAGAGGGTGCCCTATTCATTGAACGTTTCAAATACCCAAAATAAGGCTTTTTATTTTGACATGGGCCATTGCATCGCCACCAATGTTGGCGATATAAATCCACTTCATCATGGAAGTTGTGACGGATCTAAATGTAAAACAGGAAGTCAAGTCACAACATTTATTCCCATTTTATAAGAATCATCCACTATATGCATGTCACTATCTCTACATGCATAGTGTTTAATATTGTCTCTTAATTCCTTGGTGATGGGCATAAGGAAAATGATCATGTATGACAGGGTTGAAGCAAAGCACAGGGTTCAGTTGCTAACAGCATGCATGAAAGCCATTTTTAACATGAAACAAAGTCTTTGCTCAAAAGACAGCATCTTTATATTTAAAAATTCTCATTAATACTACATAAAGATCATTTATCCAATAATCTCTCAAATAACTTCTTAAAACAAAGCAAACCAGCAAACTCTTTCAAAACTGAAGGGCTTTTTCTTCAGAGTTCATAAGGCCACTTCAAACCTAAAAATGAAAACAGTCTCTGGAGTCTTTCTAACTGAAGAATTGCATGTTCCCAGCCAAACACGCAACAGAGTTCAGGCAAGTGCAAAGCCCCACCAACCTCAACCTACACTTCCCTTACAATGCAATTATTGGTATCTTCACCCGAGGTTTCAGACTGGCTACAGAAATGCCTGTATATCAGTCATGCTAATTCAGGAAAATGTAAATACATGATGCTTGAACTGCCAGATAGACAGACAGAGTTAACAAAATGCTATCTAGCAGATTTAAAGTGTAAAGCACTTACTGTAACATTGGCTCCAGTCAAGCGATTGATGCGACGCATGTGCTTACAGAACTCTGGGCCATGAGAGTCACGGTCTCGGTCATCGTTAGTAACGAACAGTAGAGCGTGAATCATCTCATGTAATAGAGTCTGAAGTAAAAAAGCAACTGCTGATGTTTCTTGAAAAACAACATAGTATATTATTTAAAATATAGCTCATAGGTTGGTTTTCCCATTTTTTTTTTAATACTTATTTTGGTAATGAATCCTATTTCTATGAATCTACAACTTAAGTATGGGGTCAGGAACATATTGCAGTATTTCTCTAAACTGCCAAACCCACAAAGTTTCTCTCCATACAACCCAAAGGGCATTCTAAGGAATCGTACTGTTTGGATACTGAATGGTATCCAAACTTTGCCTACCTTCCCATAGGCTTTTTTTTTTTTTTAAATACTTCACTAGGGAAAAGTAGAGTAATTACAAGTAGCAGATGAAAATTTTGCAAAACTTCTTATCACTAGTTTACATCTATGCCTATTTTCTAAGTGTCATAAACACAAGTTGGCCCCTTAAGCTCCCCACATAAGGAATAAGGAGTTAGTTGCCTCAGAATGGGATTCCCCATAGCCAGTGCACTGAGCAGGGAGACACCAAAGGGCATGAACACATGTAATACTTAAACCTATTTAAATAATGCAGTTTAAATCTGAAGCAGATAGGCATAAACCCTCTTAAACCTGTTTAAAGCTGCTTGGAAGACAGATGTTTCATTTGAGGCAGTCCTGATTGACCCAAGTCAAATCCCAGGATAAAAGAGAAAGTACAGACCTTCCACACTACATTGCTGCTCAGTCACCAGGAAGAACAAACAGCCTGACAGGCTTGTCCCTGGAACAACTGGCAACTAACTCACATGAGCTACTTTCAACTTAGTTACCACAGCACTGCCCTAGAAAAAGTGTTATCCTATCTTGTATCCCATACTTCACAAGTACTTGAAGTGGGACAGAGATCATATTAGGATCTTCTGTCCCACTTTAAGTACTTGTGAAGTATGCGAGATAAAATAGGCTAACAAAAGGCAACATCTGTTTACACCCAAATAGTTCAAAGGGGAACCTAGAAAACCACGGTAAAAAGAGGTCAGGTGTACCCCAGATACAACTGTCCTGGGCTTTGACTCCTAGCAGGTGCAGAACAGTAGTTTACATTCACAGTTTGAATGGCAATTAACTCAAATGAATTCTCAGCACAGAAGCAAAGAATAGCATGAATCTTACATTTATAGTCAAACCCCACATCTTTGCTTTTGGGTAACTGGGCTGTTTGACCTAGAAGTGAAACTGAACTACTTTATTTTGCACTCTAAATGGCAGAGTAAACTTTTAAACAGTTGGAAAAGAGCATTTCAAGAGCCAGAAAGCTAATTTTGGGGATTTTTTGGAAAGTTAAGGGAGTCAGAAAAGCATCAGTTTAAATAAAAATTGTGACTGACAGATTAACAATTTACATGTTTAAACATGTAACAACAAAACACCAAACACAAGGTTCTTAAAAACCAAAAGCTATTTCACAATCTACAAACCACTGTGAATAAAGCCTCCTTTGCAAACTATCAGCTACCCTTTAACAGAGATAATAATCATTCTTAAAATACCTCTACAAGGTCCTTCCTTGGTCTTAGCTTTAACAATGGTTCACTTAGGCGGATGGAACATATTCCACCCCTTCCTTCATAGCTGCACACGCCAGCACAGCTGAAAGAGAAATACAAACAGAATGTACAATTCCCATTTGCTTTCATAGCTGGCAGAGCAGAGTTGAGAAGTAGATTTACAAATACTGATCCCTTTTAACATAGCTGAAGCAAGCTGTACTTGAAAAAGAGCTCTCCTTCAGGTAACTTATTATCAAGTACTTATTCAACCTTGCTAAACTAAGAATCAAGTCCTTTCAAGTATTAAATCCTTTTACAGTACAGACTAGAAAAGGTCACCTTGGTGAGCACTACCAAAAAAACCCCAAAACAAATAAACAAACAAAAATCAACAATCCAGGACCCACAATTTACTTGCTTCCGTTTGGTAACACTTGATTCAGAGTTAAGGATTTAAGACATATCATTTGTGCATTCAAAGGTGACCTGTTCTGTCTACAGACTAGTACTTTCATTTAAAAAACAACAACCCAGGCATTGCACAGAACAGGAAACAGAAGCCCAACCCCATTCTTTGCAGTGCAGATATGCTGAGCATTACCCTTTGAGGAAATCTACAACTTTCTGCTGCTGCACTTAAAAAATAAATGCAACTCATAAAAACAGAGCCGAAAGCTATGGCCCTGCTGCAAGGACAGTGCAAGCACCAGAATCTCAAGCCTGACATGTAGTTTGGGAACAATTTTGTACTTGGACCAAGTTTTACCTTCTGCAGATGTGGAAAAGATAATGTCAAAATAAAAAATAAAAAAAGGAAAACTGCTCTAGGTCTTTAAGGAGGCCAAAGCAGAGCCAGGTGGCTGCTCCAACTCACTCCTGAGGAGTCAGCACTCAGACATGGCAGTGAGGACAAAGGAGCCAGGTTCCTAACAAAGCCTGGGGCTGCTGCTATTACTGCCAATAGACAGGAGGTCCAAAGCTGGGAAAGCCAGCAGAGAAGAGGCCAGGCATCAGGGCTGGAAGCATGGGCAAAACTAGGATTTGGAAAAGGGGGGGTGCAGACACTTGGGTGGATAATTCTCTGGGTAAGAAGAAACTAGAAGCTTTGCCAACAGGCTGGGGCCTGGGGCTGTGCTGTTCCACTTAACCTCAAAGGAAAAACCAGCATGGCTTCACTGGAACGTGCATCCATTTGCTGTATCCCACGTTTTGTATAACCCCCTCCCCTCAAAAACCAGGAACAAATGAGGCTAAAATAACCACGAGGCAGCGTTTCTTTAGCCCCGTCCTCGAGAATTAATTGTTCCTCTCCTTCAGATCCATAACACAAAATCAAGCCAGCTTCAGTATCTAACATGGGATTGATTCCCACACCCAAGTTCACTATCACCCGAGTCTGGGTGACCTCAGGAGGTCAAAGCAGGACCAGCCATGATTACCTCGCCTCACCTGAGGGATGCATGCATTCACAACAACGAACATTTTGAGCTAGTGTTAAATAAACAACCCGTGCCTGAAACTGGTTAAAAACCGCCTGCCTGCGGAGGCCGTGAAGTAGGAGCTTCAGATGGCAGCAGGAAGCCTCGCTGGCAAGGCAGGAGCGGCCCCCGGGGCTGAGAAAGTGTGCGCGCGCGTATGGGGGTGTGTGTGTGCAATCCCTCTCCCCCCCCCGCGTACAGCGTCATGCGCGGGCTCCACGACACCTCCACGGCCGCCAGCCGCCCCCAGAATAGCTCCTCGTTGAACTGCACGAAGAGGCCGTGCACGTCTGGGCTCGGGTCCAGCAGCTCCCAGGATTCGTCCACCACGGAGAGGGGCCGCGCAGGCGGCTCGGGACGGGCGCCGGCCGCCGCCTCCTCTTCTTCCCCCGCCTCCCACTGCGCCTGCAGCTGCAGAGCCATCAAGAAGTCTGCGTCCATGATGCCGCCGCTGCAGTTGCAGGCGCCCGGCTCTCCTGACCGTTGAGGCGCTTCCGGCACACGAGTACGCATGCGCACCACGACACACAGGCCCTCCCGGCCCAACTCCGCCGTTAGCGCATGCGCAATACAGTCTACACAACCTCCCTTCCCCCCCTCCGCCTTCGGCACACGCGCATCACCCCACTCGCTGTATTGTTTGAAGCCCGCCGCTCTGGCGCATGCGCACTGCACAACCTCCAATTCCTTCGCGGCGCAGGGGAGGAAACGCCATTTTATCTGCGCGTGCTCTGTCGAATCGCCCGTGCCCTAGTGTAGTTACTCCTTGCTGCGCATGCACCGAACGTCAAAAGCGCGCGACTACAGTCGTGGTGGGCCGCATGCGCGGTGGTAGCGTCAGACGGCTGGTGGCGGGCGGCGGGTGAGGCCATGGCGCTGGCGCTGGGCGAGAGCGGGCTGGCGGTGGGGGGCGGCGGCACCAGCGGGCCCGGGGGCAGCCGGCTGCGCCGGCAGCTGGAGTTGGGGAGCTTTGCGGCGGG